CCTCCACCCTCTTTGTGAAATAATCCACCGCCACTATCAAGAACTTCCTCTGCCCCGTTCCCTGAGGCATCGGCCCCACCAGGTCGATACCCCAATGGGAGAATGGTATAGGGGCACTCATCGTTGTCATTGCTTCTGCCGGTTGGTGAATAAGGGGGGCCATTCTTTTGGCATTGTAAGCATTTCTTCACCATCACCTTCGCATCCTCCCTCATCGTCGGCCAGAAATATCCTGCCCTCAAAATCTTTGCAACCAAGGCCCCTGATTTACTATGATCACTGCAGCATCCTTCGTGCATCTCTCTCAGCACATATCGACCTTCCTCCTTAGTAACACAACGCAAATGTGGTCCCATATACGACCGTTTGTAAAGAATGCCTCCATTTTCAAAAAATCTCCTCATCGCCTTTATCGTTCCCCCTTTCAGTTCCTCTAAGATCGGAGCCCTCCAATCATCCACTTCCTCAATCTCCACCACTTCTGCTTCGACCACACTTTTTTCGAGATGCAATAGAGTGACACTTCTGCTCCTACAATCCACCAAGCTTTGAGCAATTTTTGATAACAGGTCTGCCCGACCATTCTCTCCTTGGGGAATTTGTATTAGCTCGAATGAGTCAAACTCCTCTTTCAACTTCTTCATCTCATCGACATACTTCTGCATCCGGTCTTCCTTAACTTCGAACCCCTTCTGTAACTGCCCAACCACCAGTTGAGAATCAGAATGCACTTGTACTTTTCAGGCTCCTCTCGCTTTGGCTAAACTCAAGCCTTTGATTACTGCCTCATATTTGGCCTCGTTGTTGGATATCTTGAACCCTACCTTAGCCGCAAATTCCAAGTAATCGCCCTTAGGGGAAACAAGGACAATTCCCAATCCTGCCCCACTTCGTGCCACAGATCCGTCCACAAACAACTGCCATATTCCTCCTGACTCTTTCTCAATTTTCGTGCCTTCCCAGATAAAATCGGCTAACACCTGCGCCTTTATGGCCCTCCTCGGCTCATACAACAGAGAATATTCACGCAACTCGACCGCTCATTTCACCAATCGACCAGAGATCGATGGTCGGCCAAGTGTTTTTCCCAACGGCATGTTTGTTCGCACCTTCACCTTATGGTTCAAGAAATAAGGTCTCAACTTTCAAGCAGTTACGACTATGGCTAAAGCACACTTCTCGATCTCTGAACACCTCATCTCTGCCTGCATCACCCTACTCACGTAATAGATAGGAAATTGCGCTACCCCCTCCTCTTGCAATAACACCGAACTTACAGCTCTCTCTCCAATAGAAATGTACAGCACCAACTCCTCGCCCTGTACGGGTTTAGCCAATAAGGGGAGGTTGGCTAACACCCCTCGCAACTCCTCGAATGCCCTCTGCGCCTCCTCTATCCATTGAAATTTCGCACTCTTCTTCAATGTTTTAAACAACGGACCGCTTTTTTCTGCCACCTTTGATATAAAACGACTCAGCCCTGCGATTTGGCCAGCCAAGATTTGTACTCCTTAACATTCGCCGGCGACTGCATCTCCATCACCGCCCGCACTTTCTCCGGGTTTACCTCGATACCTCTCTTGGTCACCAAGTAACCCAAGAATTTCCCCGACTTTACTCCGAACGAACACTTAGCTGGATTCAACTTCATCCCGTACCTCCTCAAAGTCAAGAACGTTTCCCTCAAGTCTCGCACATGGTCCATCCCATCTTTGCTTTTCACTAACATATCGTCCACGTATACCTCCATGTTTCTCCCCAGCTGTTCTTTGAAAATTTTGCCGACCAACCTTTGATACGTGGCGCCCACATTTTTCAAGCCGAACGGCATCACCACATAACAATAGGTTCCCCGACTTGTCACAAAACTCACCCGTTTTCTATCTTCTCTTGCCAAGGGAATTTGGTGGTATCCCTGGGAGGCATCCATCAAGCTCAAAAATTCACACCTAGCCATCGAGTCGACCAACTGGACGATTCTAGGTAACAGGTACAGATCTTTCGGGCACGCTTTGTTTAGATCACGGAAGTTGATGCACATTCTCTACTTTCCCTCCACCTTTGACACCATCACTGTACTCGATAGCCATTCTGGGAACTGAATCTCCTTGATATGTCCTGGTTTTAACAGCTTCTCGACCTCTTGCACAATAATTTTATCCATCTCCGCCCCATGATGCCTCCTCTTTTGCTTCACCAACCTCACGCTAAGGTCGATGTTCAGCCGGTGTTCAATCACCTCCGCATTTATTTACGTCAACTCCTTCGTTGTATACGCAAAAATATCCGCAAACTCCCTAACCAGACTAATCAACCTTGATCGGATGGGCTCCTCCAGGTCCTTCCCAATTTTGAATTTCCTCTCCTCACATCCTTCGATCATGTGAACTTCTTCGACCTCCTGCCCTAGCTGGATATCCACCTTCTCTTTTCCCTTTTCCAACCTCTGCCTATCTTCTTTCGACCTCGACCCACCTGGTCGATTAACCTCCTCCTCTTTTGGCTTAGCCTGCTTCTTTGCTAGTTGTTTGTTGTTGCTCACCGTAGTTTGGTAGCAGCTCCTCGAGGTAAGTTGGTCTCCAGCAATCTCTCCAACGTTTTCGCCCACAGGATATTTGATCGTCATGTGGTACGTGGATACGACCGCCTGGAATGCATTCAAGCTTGTTCTCCCCATTATAATGTTGTAAGACGACTCAGCCCCAACGACCACAAACCTCACCATCCGAACTTTCCTCATTATCCTTGATCCCAGCGCCACGGGCAGACTGATCTTCCCCATCGGCATAACCTCTCCTCTGTTAAAGCCGTATAACACCGTGGCCACTGGTTTCAACT